AAATTTTGGTGGAAGTTAATATTAACTTCTTAGTAGTATCTAATTATTCTAATTCGACATTGTCCACTCATAAACGGTAAGTGGAATGCTCTATAATTTGTATGCGTTACGGTAAACTATTATTAATTACAAACTAGAAACGATTTTAGTCATAAAATAAATAAATAATGAAAGAATTTATTATGTGTCTGGTGATAATATTTTTACAATTACGAATGTTTTTTTTTTTTTCATAGTTCTAGCCTCAAATCATAATTTAAAATCTGGTTTACATAGTTGGTATAAAAACTTATCCTTAGTGTTTAACTCATCTACCTGCATCCAAAGTCTAAAAATCCAGTTGGCTCTATAGAGTCCACAACTTTTGTTCCCCTAGGGTTTTTGTCCCCTCTCATTGGCGCCGAGCTATTCTCTCCACGGTCATATATATATTATGATATTAATATGTATTTATACACCAGATATAAATTAAAAGTGAATATATTTTTTCCTACAAAACACAGTTATGTTTATCACACTATAATTCTGAAACAAAAACAACAAATATCAGCTTTCTTAATATTCTAACGTTTAAGTTGTATTATCAATATTTTAGTTCCATTTTATAACAAATGTTTTTGTGTAATAAACAAAAACTGTTTTCTTTTGCGATGATTTCTGTTGTGTTTTTATTACAACTTTTAACTTTAAAAGAAATTAATGGATTTTTAATTCTCCAAATAATATCAAGTATCATGTATAAATACTACATTATAAACCTTTTAATTGAAASTGAGTATTATTTTTTAAATATAGCTACAGTGCTACACAAATATATAGTGTAATATACTGTAATTATTACGTATTTTTTTTATGTTAAAATAATGGATAATTGCATCAAGCTATTATTTTAACACGTAAAAATTAAATAGTCTTACATTTTTAACAATTAATATTTGATTTCAAATATTTAMATATGATTTTTTTTGTTAATTGGAAATAGTTGTAATAAAATTTTTAATAATTTAGTACCTATAAGTTTAAATTTGTTTTTTATATTATATAATAATATACATTACCTACTCAAAAATAGCTATACTTATTAATTTTTTTTTTTTGACTAAAATATGTCCTTTTTATTTTATACTCGTAATTACTTTTTTAAATGCGACTAAAAGGTTTAAAAATCAAATATATTTTTATTTATACCATTTCCTATTTTAATTTTTTTTTTTTTTAATCAGCTTTTAATATTAACTATTACAACCTATTTTAATTAAAATATCATAATCGTTCCAACTCAATAAATATTTTTTTTTATTTATTTTAATAAATGTGTATGATTCTAACTAGCTGGGTATTTAGTGGTACAACATTTTTTTTTTATTCTTATTATTACCTGCATCGTCCCAAAATTATCTTTAACGAAGAAAAATAATAAATTTAAAATAACTAATAATATGCTTAATATTCATATTTGTAACCGCAGTTTTTTTTTGTGTGTTTGTTTTAATTTCTATTTTTCATAGATTATTTTCTGCAATCTTTTTTTTTATTATTTATACATACAAATTACAAATAATCGATAACCAAGATTAAAGAGTAATTCATTTTCAATATTCTAAAACACAATTTACTTGAGTTATAAACAAATGGTTAATTTCGCTAATGATTATAATCTGTTAATTAAAAATCTAGTGTTAAAAAGAATCCAGTAAAAGAAATCATTTTTATTCTAAATTAAATATTAAAATGCATTATATGTTGTACCTATTGTATGTTTACTGAATATTATTGGTAACTTAATAAAAGTGAATAAATAAATATTTAAAAATACTTAACTCTATAATATATATACAAGTAACTTAATTTTATTTACTGATACAAAAGTGAGTGTACAACTTATATTATAATATTCACATTAATATTTGTTCGGTATACATAATTTCAGTAACGAGTAAGTACAAAATACAAATAATAAAAATAATTCAAAAAAAGATTACCCACTCTGAAATAATAATTACCTAATAAATATATACATTTGCTATAAGAATATTTTTGCTGTCTCTTTAAAATGATAAGTAAAAAAGTGATTTTGTGTGAGATTAAAAATGAGAGTTTTATGCTGTTGCAAAAAGCAGAGAACGTAACGAGGAGGCGTTTTTCACAGGCCATCAGTAAGGCCATAAATTATTTCAGTGTAAACGTTTTTCGTCAGATTAACATTTCAATTTCTCGTTTATGTGTTGTCTGATCAAAATTGTGGTGAAAAATAAAACATAAAATTATTTTTACTATAAAACTCTCTTCTTTTAATACTTTGTTGGCAGTCGTATGGGGATGTTGAAGCGATTGAACGTTGATTAAAACAGTTTTCTTGGTTTGGTTTGGTTTGGTAACAAATAAATTGATACATAACAGATGGCATCGCTTCAATAATAATGCTTCGTAATTATTGTTATGATGATTATAAAAAATATAGTCCTTAAATGATGGCTGAATTATCTTTTGGTCAACATAACTGATTAATTTTAATCTATTATTTTCTAACATTATCGTATAGATCATTAAATTGTTGTTACACATAGGTAACCTAAATAGCATTGACATAAATACCTATAAGTGTGATAGGATTATATTTATATATGCTTTTAAAAACAATCAAAACATTTTATTATGATATAATAACACAAAAAATATTAGATCTAATAAAAGTATATTATGATAAATTAAAGTATTATAAATGTTTTTTAATACTACTAAATTTTATTTTATTAAATATCTTAATTTTCAGTATAATATAAATTATAATAATAATTTATACTAACAACAGTCTGACTAGTTCATATAAAAAAAAAACCCCTTTACTATATAACTAATACCAAATAACCGACGACGATTTTATTATTATTTACTTATTTGAGTTTATTCTTACATAATGAGGAAAAACTTTAGATCAAATTCCCATCATAAATTATTGCTTCCGTGTGTGCTCCTCTTTTAAATCGTTTTTTCATTCCAATTCCCAGACACATCTTTTCTATATATCTACTAATAAATATAATATACTAATAGGTATTTTAATAGTAGTACAAGTACATAGAACGTAGGTAATAAAACTAAAATAGTATAGATATTTTATTAGACAAACATTATGCCATCTCTTTCTACAAAGTACATAGATACCCTATATATCCTTAAAAAACATAAAACCAAGGTCTGAAAATGTGATTATATAACTATTTTGTAAATTAATTATAATCGTAGAACATTTTATAGGTATAAGAAATAGATTGTAAGGAGTACTTTAAATAACATTCTATAATACAAAAAAAATATTAATATATATAAATATATATAATGTTATAATGTTTATTTGTATTAAAAAATCAGATTATTTTTATACCTACGCTAAGTTTTTAAAGTCAAACAAATAAATATTGAATTTATTATTGCAGATACATCTTACATAATCTTGATTTAAAACAACTATAATTTAAATATTAGATTTACGTAATTGTGTAGTCACATTTTTCGAGGCTTGTTAATGGTTGAATAACGTCCATCAAAAATGAACAATAAAAAAATAAATATGATTTGCGATTTCCATCGTATTGTGTTTATCTTAGATTTGCACGTTTTGTTCAGTGATTGTTTCGCTTCAATGCTGATGTATGGTGAGACCAATCAACCATAATGACGCATTGACGATAAATCCTTTCCAAATTTTATAACTTTTACCTTGGGTGAGTTGAAACTTCACAAAATCACTGATTTTGGTTTTCAGTTAACTCTAACAAATTAGCAGAAAAAAAAGAAGTTCTAATATTGTATACTTAATCAAATTGTAAGTGCCTACTTTAAATTTTAACAATAATGATTCAAAGTGCAAACAATACGTAAAGCAATATTATACAACTTTTTTCGACCAATTCTCCCCTCCAAAATTGAATAATTTTGAAATCAATTCTATTTTTCATAGTTGACCAAATAAATTGAATATCGTAAATATTTAAATATTTAAACCTCCTACCTCTTACATCATCCAAATATTATTAGGTAGGTATAATAAAATATTATAGATTATTATAGATGATACTCTTATATTAGTACAAAATATAATATAAACTAGGTGAAAATTATTTTATGATACAGTTTTAACAGAGCAAAAGAATTGATGTGTAATATTGAATGTACAATATTGAATGTACTTTAATATAAGCTTAAGGCATAATTTATGGAATGAAGTGAACATGCATTTCAAAATATTAATCATCAAATTTTCATTTAATCTTTCATTGCGGTTCACTGATTCCATTATCCATAATCCCATATGAAAACATAGAAAAATAACTTTAATGACAACTCACTCATACGCGTCCTTCTTCAGTTTTCATTTTAAAGTTTATCCTATATAAACTATCTATAAAATATTTAGTGCTACATTAATTTCAATCTATTTTTATTTTATTTATTTTTTTTTTTTTTTTGTAGAATAAATATTATTTTGAACAAATATTACATTTAAATTTTAGTTAATAATAGTATATATAATATAATAATGCCTTAACAACTTTTACCAGTTCGGTGGAGTAAGATTGCGTGTGTTTTATGTTTTTGGGCATACGATTACGCGCGGTACCGAAATAACCAAGAACATGCTTTTGACTATTCAAAAGCGTACGATTACACGTGAAATTGGATGCGACGTTGTCAACTTATTATTAAAATTAAAAAAATTTGTTATTTATCGTATATGTTGTTATTGTATTTATTTCTAGTAACATTATAAGCGTGCGTCATACGACAACTAATCAGTCAAAAATAATATTCAATAAAAAAAATCGTTATAATAAAATAATATAAATAGAATAATTTCAATTTTAAAGCCCTGATACCTATTTCCAATCATGGCTAAATACTTAAGTAAGTTTTCTGGTGTTTTATTTTTTAGATATTCTTCGTATTGTTTACTTATAAATTCGATTTCTTTATTAGTTCTTCCTTTGTATTTGGCTTGATTACTTTAAAAATAGTTGATAATTTAATGACTGTTTCTGCCTGAGTTTCCATGATAGGGTACTTATAACAGTTATAACAACAAATTTAGGTGAATGAGCACTAGTAAACTGGGCGTTATATGTTTTATGGAAACTTTCAGCTCCGTTTGTAGTTCTGAAAATATATAACTATAGTAAACAATATTTTTTTTAGACTTATTAGTAAATATTTACCTAGGATTTAGTGATGGCGTTTCAGCCCATAAAATAAGTGGAAATAAACAACCCGGTTCAACATACGTTTCCAAAACATAATCAGAAAATAGTTGTCCATCTGCAATATTTKGACACGTACTTATAAGTTCTACAAAAGCATCCTTCACGTCATCTGGGGCGATGAAAGAAATTCCAAAAAATTATTTAAGTCATAATCGTAAATCGTTATTTTGATCGTTGTATGTCATTCTTAGCTTTGTATTGCCATTAATCTGAAAATTGATTTTGATTAATTATTTYTAAAAATATTCATATTGATTTAACTTACTTTGCGCCACCAAACTTGTCCCAAGTGAAAACAGCATGTTTTACTATTGTTGCCCCAATAGAAATTCTGCCAAACAGGCGTCCGAACTAGGCCTTCGGGCCTACTCCCGGACATAGCTCCATACGAAAAAAAAAATGGCATCTTCTAAAAATGAAGGGTGAGAAGGAAAGTTTTTTCTCCGTTGAATATACATAGCCTTTCTAACTGATTTTATATCATCATATTCTAACTCGGTACTTACGCTTTTCATAAGTTGACTTCTAATTAATTTTATTGGCCGGGTAACTATGGAACTTGTAGCTTTACGTTTACAATTTTCCCTTAGAACTGTTTTTTTTAGTAGAATCTACAAGGTGGTTATGCTCACCGGCAATGTCTATTATTATTTTATTGTCACTTGTCATTAAGACTGTACAAGTACACTGTTTTTTACAGTATCTCCATCTGTTATTTCCTTCAGCCCGCTGTCTGACGTGTCAAAATTTGTGTTTCCCACCACTAACAAATCACTCCCTCTTTCTGAACTTATTACGAAAATTTCATTTTCCATTTAAAAAAATTAATTATAAAATGTCAACAATGCGAAAAATATTGAATACGAACACGAACACAACTGACATTTCAGTAAATACGTATAGACATATAATGCGAGATCATAGTTTGAGTATATTTGTACATGTAAGAGAATTTACAATAAAGATAAAATATCCAATATAAAAGTATGATCTAAAATATAATTACCTACTATTCTTTGTGATGGAAAGTTTGTCTAATATCGGCAATAATAAGTAATAAATAACGTACTACGGATCGCCAAAATCGGAACCTAATCGGATATTTACCGTGCACTTATAATCTGTATATTTGGCCACGTTGATTAGAAGCAAAAATAATTTAGCCCGCGCAATCGTACACCTAAAAAGGTACTGTATAAGGACCACGCGCAATGGTATTGTAGCCTACCAGTTATACCCTTATCAACTGACCAATTATTTCGGTTGACATTGTCTTAACTACGTATATTATTTACACGTTCTTACCAAACTATAAAAAAATGAACCGACGCGACCTGATTGATGACAACCTCATAAATCAGTGATATACTGAAAACAATTTTTTACTACTACTATTTTATAGTTAACAATTACTGCAAGAACGATAGTTACTTATCGTTGTGAATAATAGATATATTATGTAAAATAAAATATTTCGATTACTACAATAGGTACTTACTGACTACAAATGATTTTGTCGTTCAATTATCTGTGTAGAGTCATTAGGACAAATGTTTAAATAATATTAATACATTATAATGATAAATTACTACCTATAGTGGTTTTACAAATTATGTTTTGCATATATCACATATTATACAGTATACGTAGTTTATCAAAGTTGTTTGAGTGTTTGACAAGAAAAATATCGAGAAATCAGTTCAAAACATACAAATGTCATATTTGTACTTATCTGGGAAGCAAATCGTCTCGACCTAACAGAAACTTACACCGTAAGTTTGTATTTTATGGTATATTTTCAAATTTATCATTACAATTGTCGTGTATTTTTCTACTGTATTTTTTTCTTGTTTATTACTCATGTCGAGCAACCAAAAAATAATGTGACTTCGTGGCAGTGGCTTTATATACATGAATATTATTCTTATACTACATACCTCATCATTTATCCGTCTGGCGTCGGTGAAAAACATATTTTCACTACTGCTTCTTGGAGAAAACATATTCACCAACCACACATTTTATCTTACTAAAACTAAAACTTCCTTTTTTTTCACAGTATGTTCTCCGAAAGATGTTTAACAACACCAACACTAATGTCAACAAGTGAAGACATCACAGCATTTAACGATGATAATAATTAATTTTTACGGTGGTAGATAGCCGTAACAAAGTTAATTTATTCTGTCCTCCTATTTAAACACTCCCAAGGGACAATTTTCCATACAAGCATTATTATCTGGACCGATAACAATAAAGGACTAATGAAACTTCATTGTCTTCTCCCATTCAGTGGGTTCTGTTTGTTGGCAGATAGTAATTTCCAATATAAACATCACAGATTCAATGCCCTTACAAACATGATAAAAAGAATAAACACTATTACGTTTTCTTCGTAATAATGAAAAATGTGTTTTTTTTTTTACTTTTAAACATTTTAACTTTAGACAAATATACTTTGGCTACAAAACGCAAAACGTTATAGTTAGAACAATATTATAATATGTTTCTATGTCGTAAAAATTATAAAATTATAAATTTAAATAATTTATACTATTCATTTCAATTATAATACTATAAAAATAAAAACCACACAATGGAAATATATATTTGCTGTTTGAATCAATTAAATATAAAATAGCAATTATAATTCAATAATGATTTAAATCAATTAATTCGGTCTTGAACTATTTTATATTTTTATTACATAAACGAGTATGATTATAATTTTAACTTAAGTAACCCAAATCCTAAATTATAAATAAATGTGTAAATTATCTTTTAAATTAATGTGTAATAAAACGATCGAGATAACTTTCTTTTAACAGTAATTTTTATATACTTTTTTCTTGCTGAAAACATATTCATTTAAGCTATACCCTACACATATAAAAGTTCTATTTTATTCAACGACTAAAATACTCAGAAAATGGGTTATGGGCGGAATAATAATGGAAACACTTTGGTAAAAATAACGAAGAATTCTAAAACTGTAGTATGAATACATTTTAAAAGAGTTTTTTACTTATTTGTACACTTTATTTTAAAAACTAACGAAAATACTCTACAAAATATGAGATTTATAAATACTCATTTTAATAATAACCTTAAAGCTTCAATAGTGAATAACACTTTATGTTCTTCCGATTAACAATAAAAAAATATACACTTTTTATTATGCAAGAAAATATATTAATGTATGTATATTTAGTATACCTATACTGTCTACAGTTGAAAATTTTTTTCACATAATTTATAAAATATATATCTAGTTCATTAGAAAAACTGTTGTAGAAATAATTTTAAAAAAGTATGTTTAAATAAAAATAGAACTTTTTAAAAACTTGCATTAGTTTTATAGCATAGATAATACATAATAGATAGGACGTGCTTGTGTGAATCGGTACCCGCCGTTTTTCCCGAATCGAAATTCCCGAATGAATTTTTTCCCGAATAGTATTTTACCTGAAAGTCCGAAAATCCGAAACCTGTTTTCCAGAACACCTTTWTCCCGACGTTTATTATTCCCGAAATAAAAAATTTAAAATTTAGTTATTACTGGTGTATTTTCTATGTATTATATTTTATACCTATATAAGATAAAGATAGTATTTACGAAAAAGTACGGGTATTTTACCTTTATCGCAATTTACCGTCGTTACAACGATATATGTATAATATACATGTACTATTACTATCTTTGCCACTCTAGCATTTAATTGATTTTTATTTTACACCTATATCATCGTGCGCTTGTGATACTATTATCACAGATTATATAAAATCTTATTATATATATATTATATACAGGGTGATTCTTTTATCAAACAAC